GAAGTAACAAGAATAAAGTCAAAATGGAAAAAGTGTTTATTCATGTTGTGATACAAACAGATCCAGAAAGGTAAAAATACACTGAAGGTAGAGCTGCAGCCAGAGACTGATAGAAGCTGGAGATAGGTCAACGCCACTTATAAAGAAATCACGTCATACTGTACGCAGACACGGACATGTTCCACTCTATGGCTCTATAACCAGAAATATTTATATATAAACATAAGACACTTTGCCTTATCTATTTGATGAACCACGCCATGGTAGTTGTACTGGAAAAATATAATTGGACTCATATTTTAATCCGTAATGTAAAAATAGGCGAGTTAGAAGCACTCAGCTGGAACAGACTGAACACTCATTATGGTGCGCAGTAACTTTTTTCACCGAGCTTCATAAGGGAGGAAGCTCACATTTTTGCTAAWTGATCGCGGCCCATGATGACCAGGATCAGATGCTGTTGTGCTAAAGAGTGCTGCTGAGTCATGCTAGCTTTAAAGTACCTGTGACGTGCAAATCCTTCAGATACAAAAATATCAAAGAGAACTTTTATATTTATGAAACTTGACATGACACACACAATTTTATCCATTTTGTCACTTAACTGGCATATTTTCTTTTGAACTTGGCTCAGCCAAAGTAAAACAGGAAGTGACATCAAAGGGGAACTCTTAAAGAAAACAAACTCCTCGGTCTTTGTTTATTGCAACAATATTATTTGAACTCTGACTCTTTATATCTAATAGTGATTAAAAATAATTAAAAAAACATCAGATTCTTCTCTACAGTCTGTATAGCTGTTGTAGCAGCGCTCTGTTTACGTGCAGAAATTCCCCTTTGACATCACTTCCTGTTACTTCATATACAAATGTCTCAACAGCTGTTCATCGCAGCGGTGGGAATTTAAAGTTTTCATTATCATCTTTCCAAAAATACATTTATATTTATTTAAAAAGTTGAATGTCACAGGCACTTTAAGAGTATGAGCTGAGTGTTAATGTTAAACCTTTAATTAAACTGGTAATAGTATGTAGTTCTGTCATTACTGCCAAAAATGGTAAAAGTTGCAAGTAGCTATGTAACTACTTTTGCTTTTTAAAAATACTTCCATACTTCTAAAATAACGTCACCATCCTGACTGCTGTACGGCAGAACATACGTGGCAAAAAATACATAAAACCACAGACAGGATCTGCTTTGATACTAATAAAAAAAGCCTTTATCTATACTTCAATACTTACAATCATCTCAGGAAAACCCTAATTATTATTCTAAGACCTTTGTTTTTATGAGTCACCTTGTCTTTTTTTTTGTTTTGTTTTGTAGGTGGATCTAGTAAACATAGGAGGAACAGATATTGTAGATGGGAACCACAAACTGACACTGGGCCTTATTTGGAGTATCATCCTTCACTGGCAGGTGAGAGCTGTACACACACACACTCTGCAAACACACACAAAACGTCATTAATGTTTGCTTTATTAACTCGCTGTTCACTGATGCTCCGGGGGGTGGGGATCAGAAAAACACATGATGGAAACTCATTTCAGATGCGCACGCATGCATGTAAACATGTAAACATGCTAATCCTGGGTCAGTTCAGCCAGTCCAGTTCAAATTAGAAGCATGACAGCCTCTTATTATCTTTATTATTATTGAGTTTGTTTGTGTTAATATCACCCAGGCCACTTTAATTCTAAATTATGTTCATGTTGTTTTTGCTCAACCTAAATTCATGCATTTCGTTCAAAACAACATAAATTCAATATAATTAAAATACAAATCATAAACAAATGAAAGGCAGCAGAAGTAGACAAAATCTTATATCTGCCCCTTCATTGTGTGTAACTGCTATCATTGTTGCTGTTTTGATGGTTTTCAAGGCCAAGCTTAAGCTTTAGTTCAAGCTGGACTCCTTTCCTGTATGTTGTTTCCTTTAAAAGCAACTATTGACCTGAAAAAAGCAACAACAGGAAAGTCTTCACATCATTTGCAATATCCACTTTAAACTCCATAAAATTAGAACTTATTTTCCTTTTAACAGATACTGAAATTGTTTTAAACAACTGTCTTTTTTTCTTACTTGTGTGAGATTGCCTGTTGTTTAAAAATAATAATCACCAGTTGGGTCAGATAATAATGTTTTTCTATTCTATTCTATTCTATTCTATTCTATTCTATTCTATTCTATTCTATTCTATTCTATTCT